CTAGTCAGCGCCACAACATGGTCTTTCCTCGAAGCAGAACCCCGGAAGTCGCCTGGCTCGAGTTCGTCAACACATTCAGTCAGCTGATTGCACAGGCTTCAGAGATAAAAGCTTACAATAAGTGCAAATCCGTTTCTTTCGTTAGGAGCAGAACCCGAAAATGGATGACAGTACGCAACGCAGCATGGCGAGTGTACAGAAAAGCTCCAGCACCAGAAACGTGGGACAACTACGTAGCCCAACGTAACCACTGCACACAACTGTTAAGAGAAGACAAAGCCGCTTATCAGCAGAACATCGCAAAAACCTTCACTGCTAACCACAAACTGCTGTACATGCATGTCAATAGCCTACGAAAGGTGAGGCAAGGATTTCCTCCACTCAAGACGGCTGATGGCCCAACAAGCACGTCTATGGAAGCTGCAAACGCGCTGCAGATGCAATACACCCCCACGTTTCAAACGGTCTTGCCACCAAGCGATCTACCAAGCTTTGACTTCTGCTCACCAGGACTAACCCACATCAATTTTACCGCAGAGGCTGTATTGCAAAAGCTGACCTCTCTACGCAAACACAGCTCGCCGGGTGTCGACGCCATTCGTCCTGAGGCATTGGGAGTAGCAGCAAACCAAATGGCAGGACATTTAGCTCAGTTTTTCCAGCACTGCTTAGACCAGAAACAAGTTCCCGCCATGTGGAAGCTTGGAATAATAAGCCCGATTCACAAAGGTGGAAGCAGATCTGATCCCTCCAACTACCGCCCAGTAACCCTTCTTCCTATACTATCCAAGGTCATGGAATCTATAGTTGCCGATGCACTGGTGTGCTATCTGGAAAACTGCAACCTAATCACTCCAGAACAGCACGGTTTCCGTCGACAGCGGTCATGTACAACTAATTTACTCATTGCAAGCAGTAGTTGGACCGAGGCAGCCGACGCTGGAGAAGGTGTTGATGTGATCTACCTGGATTTTTCCAAGGCTTTCGATCGTCTAGACCATCGGATACTACTATCCAAGCTACAGCATTACGGGATCGGAGACCCTCTTTTAAGCTGGATCGCCAACCTTCTATTTCAAAGGCAATTAGTGGTCAGAGTTCGGAGCACTTTATCGGACCCCATACAAGTCGACTGTGGTGTGCCGCAAGGCTCGGTTCTAGGTCCACGTTTGTTTCTGGTGTTTATTAATGACCTTGCACAGGGAATCGCTTCAAACTTCCTAATGTTTGCCAACGATATCAAGATCTGGCGCAGGATCCAGGCGAACGCCGACCAACATGTGCTCCAAAGTGACTTAGATACAGTGTATCAATGGTCGATCCAAAACTTATTGCATTTCAACGTCAGTAAATGCAAGGTGCTTTCCATCCGACATCAGGGCAGCTACTCATACCGACTCGGAACGGATGTACTGCAACAATCAACTCTCGAACGTGACTTGGGTGTCCTGGTTCAAGATGACTTGGGTTGCTCCAGGCAATCGGAAAAGGCCTCGAAGACCGGGAATCAACACGTTGGGCTGTTGAGGCGGGCATTTGGACAAATAAACAGCTCCATATTTCGACAAATGCTCAACACGTATGTTCGCCCCCACGTCGAATACGCAATTCAAGCCTGGCATCCATGGCTGAAACACGACCTTAATGCACTGGAGCAGCCACAACGCCGGGCATCTAAGAACGTAACTGGAATGCGCAATCTGTCCTACCAGGAGAGTCTGCGACGACTAGGATTGTTCAGTGGAAGCTATCGCAGGCTACGAGGCGACCTGATTATGACATACTTGATTCTGCGAGACCCACATCATGTGTGCCGCCCTTTACTGCAACTCAGCAGCAATACAAACCTGAGGGGCCACTCATTAAAACTCGCAGAACAATACTGTCGTCTGGAGTGCCTCAGAAATTTCTTTTCCATCCGTGTCTGTCACCCGTGGAATGCTCTCCCAGAATCGGTCGTCTCTGCACCGACAATAACAATATTTAAAAGACGGTTGGACGATGCACTCATCCACTTACACTTTGTTACTTAACACTATGTCTCCATCCTACACCTGGAGTTTACCCTGGAATTATTTGTTGTTAACTGTGGGTGTTGTGAATCTAAGTGGATCGCAGGACTGCAGCGAAGCAAACGATAAGTCCTTATTTTCGTATTTAAAGTGGTAACTATTTTACTATCCTTTTCATCATAATAATTATGTTGTTATCCCCCCCAACTATCCAACGGGGCTTGTAAAGCAACGCTTCTTAACCCGTATAAATTCATTGTTCATTGTTCATTGTACACCGCAAGCCGACTATTTGCCAGTATAGGAATGACATAAAATTGCTAATTGCAATATCTTTGCAAACTAGCAACCAACCTACGTGTAACTGATACTTGGATTTTTACAAGTCTGCCTGACTATATTAAAAACGGGTGCTTCAACAAATCAAGATCCAGCGTGCTTTTTCCATTTAAATGAATAATCAACACATTTGCCATCCCTTGATGCGATTTGATCGGACCAGCAAACTGGACCGTGTCTCGTACATTCGAAAAAGAAGCAAACCATTTACTTATTCATTTATGTCTTCATGATTGTCACCGCTTTTGCTCACATTCTAATGAAAATCTGGTCACGAATTGAAATCGGAGCCCAGGCTCAACCGCATCTTTTATCAATCTTGCCAATTCTTCCTTATTTCGTCTCTCTTCCTTCTATGTTGTTTAGCATCTACCTATCTAATGTTCTCCATGTTCACGTTATATCGGTTTATAATTATGTCATATCCTCAGCGGTAACCAGTTCCATATGCAACATCAGAATGCGCATAGGTAATACATGCATAGGTGGTAGCCTTTCGCTTGCTGGTTCGCAGACTTCTAAGCTTGGCTCACTTGATCGCTTTTGTAGTTTGCAATAAGTGCACTTCTCGTATGCTTTTCAATAAACTGCGAAGATATTGCTTGTTTAACCACATATATCATTTAGATTCTACGAACCCCTACAGATATATATATATATATATATCGCGAATTCATTGCCAACCAACTTTGTTAATATGGTAATTTTGCGAAAAGTTATGCCAACGTATCTGTATGCAGTATTGGATTTATTATATTTCAGCATGTCGTTTAAAGTGAATGGCAGTCGCTTGATGCCCCCGGTGAGGCTGCGCTTAGTGTGCATGTTGACAAGGTGGCTACCTATCTATTACCCACTACCTCGTCCATACTGGCTCAAAGAGACAGCTGGTTGTTGCTGGAGGGGATGGGGTGCACGATCCTTGTGGCCGTGTTAGGATCAAAGAGTGTTCCATGCATCCAGTGTGGAGCGGACTACAGTCCAGCCACCGCCTTGTATGCGCTTGCTTCCCAAATACACGCGCTTGTGTTTGTATGTGAGGGAGTGTGAGCCGGCTCCGTTGATGAAACGTTGCTCCCATCCACATGCCTCCCGGTCTTATTCCTTCGGGTTTACACTGGTTGTGGGATGTGTGGATGGAGCCGTGGGTGGTGCAGCGCAAGCCATTCATGGTCCCTCTGTAGGCGCAGGCGTCCTGTGGCTGACCAACTGTATATGGTTGGTTAGCAAGTTACTTAAAAATGCTACAAACGCAACAAAGTTACCAAAGATAAACGAAACTAGCGTAAACAACAAGGCCAGTTAATGGAAGATTATTCAGGTAGGCAGAACAAACCAAATAAAGTGGAATGAAATTTATCCAGCTTAGAAACACCTAGTTTAAGTGTAAGTTGGTTTAGCCCAACTGCGTTAAAGAAGCATCAAGAATGCAACGTCAGCCTCAGCATGGGTATATATATATGTGTGTTTGTGTAAAGTTGTAGTTTGTCCACCCCACCGCCTCCTCCAGCCCTGCGCAGCGACGGCGAACAAGGTACAACGTGGAAGACGCTAACCGGGCATACGCAGTACGTGTTCGAGATATTGTAGTTGGCACAATGAGACAAGCACCTCGAGGGAGAGGCTGCTTCCACCCAAGACATGCTGTCTGACTTCAACGTTGGTTACGTGGTGCAGCCACCATACACGGGCGATGGACCGCAGGCAACGGTTCTCGAAGAGACAGCCGGCGCAGATCATCTGTACGAGCAGACCACGTCTCGCAACGGTACAACAGTATAGTGCGAATGGTCGCACGATAAACCCGCCCTTTGATGGAGAGACGGATGCCATGGCGGCGTCATAAATGCCTCAGCTTGGAGAAGACTAGTTGAGCTCTTGAGATGCGCGTCGAAATCTCGTTTCCAGCAGCCTCACCAGCAGTTATGCACCTTCCGAGAAGACAAAAATCCCTATATATATGATCTGTCCTGTTTTAATCAGTATTTGCGCATGTCATCGTCACACTCAGGACAGTACTCGTTGTAGAAATGGTTGGCCAATTTTATCATATCAATTTATTTCACTGACTTCATCTGGGACAAGCTAGTCACTTTCGTCGATTGGGGCTGGATTATGAAAAATGAAAGAACACAACTGCCATCAATGTTCCGCATCAATAGACCATGGAAGCTCACCCCGTGAATTTAAGTTCCGCTATAAGCACCTTATTAACTACGGTTGCAGCAATTTATTCACTATGATTTTTCAATCAACTATTTTGCGTTGTTTCAGCTAGTTGCGTCTCCATTACCCGTACAGTGGACAGCAATGTAACTGCATATTGAATGATAAAGAGGCATGCAAAATATAGCAAAGCTTCGATCAGTTTCGTTCACTGAAGCTCCCTTCACATTCTTCAATAAATGTCACATACACATGCTGTCATGTGGACATAATTCGGAATAGCTGTTAATATGCTTGTAATATGTTATATAAAATTAACAGAACTAGATACAAGCAACAATTGCGATTAAATGACAGGACACACATTTTGTTTGAAACACTATTCTATGCACTACATAGAAGAAATGTAATTGTTCGAAGCTGAGTGCCAGGCTCCGTGAGGTTGTAACACGGAGAGATAAAACGCTTCCAATCCTCAAGTTTTCAGCTAAAAGCATAACTCCGTGCCGCTGTAATGAGCAACAGATTTGTGGCCACCATAGATAACATTCCTGAACCAGCTAGAAAGAAAAAGGTATAACGAATACAATCACTTTGAAATAATTAAGTAAAAATGTAAAGTGTCTTGGTTGTTGAAGGGATACTGGGTTTTCAAACTAACACAAGTCAGCTTTCAAACTCCTTCTTAGAATGATCGTGATTTTCGCAAAATGTATAGATAACTGGAACTTTAGTTGAATTATTCATATGTAAAATTGGATTTTTAATAAACGCGCTTCATCAGTCTGCTCATGCACGCTGTGTTCTGAGGTTAAAGATTGTTCGGCAGTTTCACTAAACTGGTGTAAGTGTTGTTGAAAATGTGATTGGTTCCCAAAAGTCTGTCGGTTACATTGTCGTATTAACCATGAGATTCATTTAGCTGTCTGACCATTGGATTGTGTGACTTAATTTATTGGTATCCGTCTCTTTATTCTCCTGTGCATTACCGTTGTTAGTTGATGTGACGTAGGTCAAAGAGTGCGTTTGCTGAAATATATAAATACTCTTCTGATATCGCGAATCCCCGTGAGGATTTGATAAACTCTTGTATTAAAGTGGCTCATACGTTACCAAGAAAAATATGGTATTAAGACACTCAAAATTAAGAAGTTAATGAGTAGCATAGGGTTTGAACGATTTATCTAGAAACTCAGCGCAATTGGTCGCAGTAAGCCAGCCATCACACCGGACGGCTGTTTAATCCTGTCGGGAATTATTAGCTTTGCACGCCCCAACTAAACCATGTGCGTCCCGAACCCAGAACTCGACTGATGCCGGACTGCGGTTGGGTCCACTGGATTGTGATGCATTTCTACTAATAAGTTAAAGAGCGCCTGAAATCCCATTCAAATCACACGTCTGTTGCCCATTTGCAGCACATGCAACAATACCCAATCAATTTCTGCAACGGGACAACTAATCATCGGTGTGTGAAGCCACTTGAGCTCGAGACTTGAATATGTATGTTCCTGCGGCTACTTATGCGTTGCTTGTAACAAATATTATCGGTTATATTAACACTCTGGTGTTCTGTTTAACAATACCAAATAACACATCTATTAACACAAGATACGGTAACTGAAAAATGAACGAATGAGCTTGCATAAATTCATCAAGAATTGTTATTAGTAACTTGGTAATAGAACTGAAGGAACCCCTCTCATTTCTGAGATAGCATCAATACGTTTGTTAGAAATCTCTTCACGATTACAGTGGACAAAAGTGACTGCCTGACCTAAAGTGGACGTTTGGGTGAAAATCAGCTTATTAGAACCAGCGGCATCATCTACCATGGGGTAGATTGAGGTTAATTTGGAAAACCAAAAACTGTATACTAAGGAGGGAAATCTAGTTGGGATAAGTTAAGGGCATTCACATACTGATTTCAACCACATGTTTCGGACTACCGTTCACAATACTTTAAGTAACTTAGCAACCTTCTTGCTGGCAAAGGAAGCCGAGCGTCAGTTCTGTCATCAAACTTTTTAAGATTTTCCAGTTGTGAATCATTTAAAATAGAACTCACCTTTCGATGCAGTGCCAGGAGGTGCAGGCACTAGAAAGACACGAATAAACACATAAAGTAGCTTCGTGTTACTAAAGAGTATGGACACTCAGCGAATATTACACGCGGTCAAGATAGTGTCATGCTTTGTTCCCACAACGGTGAATTGCTGTTTATTTGGAGTATAATAGCTCAACTCACTTGCAACCCCCACATGCAGTGCTTCAATGTGTTGTAGAACGAGGGCACAAAGTGATTTCTTTTCTCGAATTAAAATAATGGGCCTTGACTGACGTTGCCCAGTTGCTACGCATTCACGCTTATATGATGCATCATGAGCAACATGATATTTACTGCCAATTAGTAGGCATGACATTATTAATGTGGAATATATGATAAGTGGACAGACATAACTTTGGACGTAAATTCTAGAAGGAAGTGTTCGATGAAATGTAGTCTTCACCTTGTTGTCACTACTGCACAAATTCACGTTATCAATGTGTTGGTATAAGAGCAAATTAACAGCACACATTTATTGTGGCATCTTGCTGTCATTCTTCCCTATATATGTGCTTTGAAGTGAAATGTTTATCACCCGTCCATATGATTCAGTGGAGATAAATGCAGGCGTTTTTGACACGATTGTGAGGTCTGTCTCGATTCCAAGTTCAGAATGAAATACTAGACCCGGCCGCAGAAGCGCAACGGGTCAACTGCGCCTAATCTCTTGCGCAGTGGCTCCAATTGCTATTGCACATTCAACAGTTGCCCACTCAAGTCGCCTGCGCATGCAACTAAATGGTGAAACACCTGTTGTTGTTATCGGCTAGGGACAATTGACTGTGGGAAATTAGTGATGGCAGCAATAATTTACATGTATATTATTCTTTGATTAGACAAACTAACCAAATTACTATTGCCATTGTGTGTAACTGCCCGCCTCGTCAATTCAAGATGCATCTGATGACCAGCAAAACAATGCCGCATAGATGAAGTTGACTGAGTAACTGATGATATTTTATTTTCCAAATAATGTAATCCTATATTATTCAGGAAGCATAAAAGGACGGAAATACTTATCTGAACCCACGGACTCAGAGATTCATAACATAGTTTTCATTCAACAGTCAGGTCTGTCGCCGCTAAAGGTACTTCCGGAATAAGCGATTTAATTAAGTACTGTGTGGTGGCAAGAGCCAATTTCCAGCCACGCAGCAACAACAACTAACCTTGTAATATTACAAAACAAGCAGCCAAGAATGGAAAAGCAAGGAAAAATATTCAGCAATTGATGGGGCGAATGAATGCATTAAATAGCAGTTGCATTTTTGATTAATACTTAGCTCAATTCATGCAAAAATTTTGTAGTTTTAAGCTCAGAGCACGCACGGCTGAACCCGGTGAGTTTCTGCGCAGATCATTTAAAACCGGCACCAGCACCAGAGATTTATAATCATTTATAAAATATCACGAATCAACAAAAATTTGATGTAAGAGGGAATTTCTTTAGTCCTATCCTCAAGTGCAATATCTCATTTATGTTTGCAACCCTCATAAAATTACCAAGCTTGGAAAGGATGAAATACTTATGGTCAAACCATTCATACTGTTATCTTTTATAACTGACAAATAATTTCGTGAACGCAGACCATAGTCTACTATCAATTTAACCTCGCGACTAGCCTCAACAAATACCGTTTAAATTAGAGATACCACAAAAGTTATCAGTTTTGCTAGTTTTCGCAGCCTTCTGTGCATGAAACAAAAGTCATCTCAAATCAGATCAAAATCCACATTTAAAGGCAATTCGATGCTATGTATTTCTTGTCAACTTCGACATTGTTTTCAGAACAAATGTTTTGCATCCGGTCTATTATCCCATGAGGCAAAAGCAATTGGCGTAATACTGATAGAAATAATCGACTGTTCGATTTTTCTTTTTGTTGCAGGAAAGGTAACCGGTGATCAATTACCACCCTGAACTGAACAACATCATGTCGATCAAAGAATACACTAAACAGTTGTTTCATTCCGCTGGGAATCGTTCCCCTTTCTTGACAACGGCGTATGTTAGCCACATGTCCTTAGGTATGCTCGTTCTCTGAATATAACACGTAGGAACCTCTCGCCTTAGTCTTTTGGGATAGATGTCTCAGTAGACCATGGAGAGCGACTAAATTTTAAAGCAATATTCTCCGCGTTACTTCATAACTTGATATAAAAAGGCCAATGGATAAAAAGCAGTTATTTGGTACGAATATGAAATGCTACTGAATGCTTTTGTGGGTGAGGCTCGCAACACACTAACTTACAGCACAGCATTTTTGCGTTTAGCAGAATTTTCAGAGTAATCATTTTTAAAAATGTCTGTGGCTCAACTGTTCACCCATTTGTACCTTACGCTGAAAGGGCTCGGTGGATGGAAGCATGCCACTTTTCAGTTACATAACCACTATGTTATGGTTCTGGGATATTTTCCTACGCAGCACCAGTTGTATAGATAAACAATACCCATCCAGCGTATATACCATTTACTTGAGGTTGGTTTGCACCGTATATCTAAAATCACTGCACCATCAACGGAGCAGTACAAATAATCAGTGAGAGTATTTGGGAAAGTAATTATTACAGAGGAGTAGTTATCCTGATAAATTTATCATGAAGCATTTGAATGGACGCAGTCGGAAGCCACGAAGCAGCACTGCCCCTTACAAAGAGCATTGCACACATATTCAGTTTAAGGGTGATTCTGCAGCTGAGGCGTCATCCCGACGCCTTCGGATGCTGCAAACAGAACTTATTTTGCTACCCGCCTGAGAATTATTAACCACGACAAGCCATCGCTTGCAAAACCTTTAAGAGATAGATTGCCCTCGTTGACCCGTTCAATGATTGCTTAACAATACTCGTACTCTTGTGGTTTACTATGCGTAAGTAGCACTACGAGGCGACTATCTCACAGGATTCGTGAGCAAATCTCGGCATGGTTACACAAAGGCTATATGAGGTGCTCAGATAGCTCAATCATGTCAAATCTACTTGAATGTGGCCTTACAGGTTCCGAGAATGACTACAACGTCAACCAGTCACAACCTGAATAATCCTCCCAAGCTTTCCGCAAACAGCATTTAACCACGGTGGAGAATACCACCATCTGATGCAGGAATCATGTGTACAATATCGGTTCATATGGCCAATACTACTACCGTGGCCATCCGAAACTATTACTCGTTATTTGGCTGTTAGTTTACCTACTTACTTCGGACTATTGTAGTATGTGACTATATGTTTTTTTAGTTCATTTGGATTTCCATCTATTTTCCTATCACAAATTATCGTTTTCGGTCGTTCAAACAGCCTGAAAGTCAATCACAACCCGATTTGACACTTTCCACACAATCAGTGCTATTTAAACCTTTGGGTCTGATGAGGGTTTACCAAACAGTATTCTTTATTTAGAAATGATTTTTGATATTGTACCGTAGAAATACTGGTATGTGCAGTTGGAACTCAGCATAAAATATGAGCAAGTGGCTATATTCGACAAAGCACAAATAGTATCATAGAAAATATTCTTACCTAATATCAATAGCAAAACAACTACGACTACGAAGTACTCATCTCCGTAATATCAGTTGCGCTTTTGTATCACCTAACCAATTTAGGACAAGAACACGAAACCTATCACATGCATACACATAAGGTACCCGTAAGAATATTCTCAGAACTTACCGCTGTGATAAGTGGCCTCAAACAAATCTGTTGTGTTCCCACTTAATGCAGCATATATGACCATCATTGTATTTGAGGTAGAAGTCAGTGATACGAGACGGTTTCCTGAATCTCCGTACACGAAATGGACGACGGGTGCACCACAATCGCTTCCATCCAAAAGACGTAGCCAATTCCCTGGGTAGCTTATCTGGAAAAATGCAACATATCTCCCCTGAGAATCTTTTGCAGACTGAATATGAAAACACGATTTCAACTACGGTTAACAGGTCAGCACTAAATTATTACATTAGAAGTTGGTAGTTTATTGATGTGCCAATGTCTCTACTTTCCAACAGCCGCAAACCTATGCAGTTCGCCAAGTTGAAAAATTGATTTCTGATGTAAGGAATTCGTAGAATAATGCATAATACACTGCTGTACACTGGTTATAGAGGAGGGACGCGATATGCGTAAGGGTCAATAAGTAACTAAGAACGTACGGATAACTTCGTTAGATTGAAAGCAATCGTTTTGCCAGATTGGACCGATATCCTCCAGATGCATAGATAGTTACGTCCTTCTTTTCCTTGATACGACAGACTTCCAGAATCTCCTTTTATCTCTTTCCCACATTGTACTGAAATGGACGCATTGAAGGATCAATACACGGCTCATGTCTCGTTATTCAAGCTAATGTGTACGCGTTTGTGGCTGTGTGTAACACACTAAATGGTACTTGTTTGTTCTCTGGATGTATTAGATCCAAGTTTTACAAACGCTCGTGGTTTAACAGTAAAAACTCGGTAAAAGGCACAGGACAAGCGGTGACACTCGGAACTAAAGAATCGTTCTGCCAAAGTGATTAAGCAATAGTCGTGAGATGTATAGCTACTACGGCATAGATGAGAAAAAAATTTGGAAATTCCAAATCGAAACGAAGCATAAACGACAATTACGGGAGCGCGCATTTCGTATTGTAGATCAATTTACTAACATCTCTTTGTACTTCTGAAAGACAATCAGCGAATACGTAACTCACTTAATATTTTATTTTCCGCTGCAAAGTATAGGAAAATCACATGGTTAGACAGTATCGCAAATGATAACATAAATGGTGAATCATGATTTAACAGCGCTGTCTGCCATCTGAACACAAAAGCCCTAAATGCATCCCACCACTGCTTTGGTCACATTTTGTGCTCGCAATCATTATGGAGGGAATTACTTCCAGTGCAGTATTTCCTACAAACAGTAATTATTGCCCGTTTGACAACACAATGGGCTCCACAGCGAAACTAAACGAAATTTCTGTCAGATGCATTACCTCTCGGAGTCTATTTAGTCCTTCTGCCAACTGGAGATGTCCTTGACAAACAATGAATGATACCCAAGGTAATTTACCATACCTTCCATCGAAAATATAACAAATGCTTAATAAGTTAGTCGATAAATATACTTTATACAAGATCATACGAACATAGACAAGTCATTAACTGACATAAACAATAACTTCGAATGCCGGTGCATCTAGAGGCGGAAGCCATCATTTCGACCAACACAGTAAGAGGTTAATAATAATAAAATTGAGTGCTAATTGGCTAAGTTATACCTATGCCTGCCAATCAAGGCAGAAGATGATTAGCATGCATTTAGAAATACAACTGCTCCACGAATCTTTGCGTATCTGTAGATGAAGGCACCACTGATGATGATGATGATGATGATGATGATGATAGCCTGGAAGAAGGTGTGCGCCGCATTAGCATTATTGTCCTACGATAATTGATCAATTTGTGTGGATCGGTTTTAATGCGTAATGAGAGACCAACTTAAAACCATACACCATCAACTAATGCCGCCTTCCAAATGTATGCAGGTAATCATGCATGAGGTTAGTATGCTATGCTTTCAGTGGAGTTTAACAGACCAAAAGGTTTGATCGGAAAATTGAACTTGCAAGTTAATGCAAACTTTAGAGAATAAATGAACTCACGAAAAGGCGGAACCGGTTTTGTTGGGTCTATAGTGCAAAGAGATAGATTTTGTACTTGTTTTAGACATACAAAACGCGTATAATGGAAGGAAGAGAACTAACGTGTATTGGGTCTTCTTGTCTGAATTCAACCAACCTGCCAGGCTATTCGCTTGAGATGCAAATATCGTTTGCATTTATAAAGCTGCGCATGCCAGAATAAGGTGATTAAATTATATATTATTTAAGCACCCTACCCGATACTGTGCGTCAACCCGAAATCCATGGATAAAGCTACTTACCCACTCCGCTCACTGAAAATGGAAATAAAAGAACAGAGCAATTACGTGAGCGTACACATGTAAAAATATCCAACTACTATCCGATATTGTGTAAGCATTAATCTCGGGAAATGGTGATGTCTTGCCGATGGGGACATGATGTTATCTGATTGTTCGCATATTCAAGTTAGATTTGAGTTAGGCAAAGCAGTAGAGAGTATACGACACCCTTAGGTTTGCTCGTACTTACGTGGGTCAATCAGTTTGACAAACCTGCGAAAGCTTTTGTAGTGCTGTTTTTTCCCGCAAGCTAGCTTAATTTAAACTCATGGTTCTACTCATTTAATTCTTATATTGTATGCTACGTCTACTTGCACGGTACAACAACATACAGGTAAACGCAGTGAATACTAAGTTGTGAATGAAGATACTGCCATGCCATATAAAATTTAGTACTATTATTTTTTGAATTAGAGCATAGCAAACGATATTCCTTTTTCAACTGTAGGGTAGAGGATAACGATTACTGCCTGATTAATGCCGATTCATAGCAATATCGCTGCAAACTTGTCTGAGATGATCCTTATGTATCACAGTTAACAGACACTAAGGAAGTTTTCTTTCAGGCAATGGAGTTCTGTTATCGACCTATGCAGATGACTTTAGATTCGAGGGAAAATGCTACAGTAAGTGGGAGGTTCCTGCTACAGCTTCGCGAACATTGCAGTACAGTTGCTCAAATGCTTGTCATCAGTAGCTACTAATCTATTCTAACTTGCAGATTTAGGTGCGCAGACCCGGTGGAAATAAATAAAGGCATCCACAGATGCTTATGCCTCGCTCTAACGTAACTACCAACAGTTGTACACGATCCAGAGAGGTCAAGTTTGTTCGCAATAATGAACCGATGAGGAGGATAGTTTCGTGGTTGCACTGTTCAGACTGCAATGTATAGTGCAAAGTTGGGATGGAGCAGATCAGCAACTCTGCGCTTCGGATGCGGTCCAGCCAATTTAAATGGCAATGTGTTTTGGAAATGTTTCGGTATAGCTCCTACCAATACTGGCCTCCCGTCCGCGGTTTCGTTCTGGTTTGGACTCATCAGATGATGATAGCCTGAGATGGGGTGGAACGCAGCTGCTAGTAGTTCACGCCTGAAGCCAAGAACACTATGTTACGGAGATTTGCGAGCAACGAGCAACACAGTGGCAAGAAATTCAAAGTTGAATTTTCGGAACCAGCTGTGTGGTTGGGTTCCGCTACACAACCGGTGATGAGACGCCGGTTCGCTTTGAAATAGACCTGGGTCATTCTGATCACAAGGACCGTATCCGAAATGGAAATGTTTCAATGTTGTTCCTTGCAAAACTGGCACACCACAACCGCAGCGCATTTCCTAAATTAACCCGTCTGTGTGAATGTATAAATCCAGACAAATAGTGTATACACCAAACCCACCCAACGACCGATGGATTTAGGTTACAACGCAGACCAGTTATATCCCCTGGTGACCGGCGGTACTAAACAACCTAATGGCAGATTTGACAAATGTACTAACGGACTACAACTTAAGTACAAAGCAACTACTGCTACAAGGTCACTTACTGACATGTTTAAGAGCGCTTGATCTGGGTTCATTATAAATATTAAAGTGATTTATATGTTGCGTTACATCTGGGCTATAAAGAGCAGGACAATGCAGAATACTGAGTCGATTCGAATGCACGAGCATCATGTGGACGGTTCAGCCTTCTGAACAAAATGTATCAAATTAGATTAAGTAACATGGGTTTTCGTAGGGATGAGGGCCAACATTCACTTTCATTCTGCTTCGCCAGTTAGACTTTGTTGTCGAATTGATAAAGGTTAACTTAAATGCGAATAACGGTCTACATTAAAATTGTGCGCCATGACCTATTCACGCAACCTGTACTGCAAGATTGTCCTCCAATCAGTGTACAAACCTGCTGTAAAATTGGCAGCAAATGGGCCAAATTGACCAGTGACATCTGAGGTGAATAGAGCAACCATGCTATTGCCACTAGAAATGTAGGTCGGGGTGCTGATATTCACCACTGCGGCAATTCTCTTGGACATGCAGTCCACACCGTCGAATAACACGATGAAGTCGACCAGAGAAGCATTCCATTTCTCTAACTGCAAGAGAGGGAGAAAATAAAAAAGGTTAGGTAAAATAATTTGGTCAATTTAATTGTTGTATATGGCGTGATGATTTATGGACCATCAATTATTTTAGTGCTTATGCTTAAGCTCAGCAGGATTGCTCTGACTACTTGAGCTGGGATTGCTGGAAGTTGTCAGTTGTCCATTTAGCTAGTATAGACAGCCACATATAATCGATTCTCATTAGTCAAATGCGTTTTGCTCAAAGCAATCATACCTAATATAAACCTATTTGTTAACTTTTGATTGCTTTGTGACATACGCAAGAACCGAAGTCAAACGTTCAGATCACAGTCCAGCTATACATGTTTGACAATGATTGAACAATGAATCGGTGGTCAACATCGAATGACTAAAGCTTACTTCGGTCTCACGGACAGGTAGGATTCTGGAGACAATCGTGCAGTTCATTCGAAAGGAAGTATCAGTATATAAACATAGTCAGCAAAACGCTTTGGAGTTAGGGATGAGGATAAACAAACAGAATGTACCTGGTTGATTTTTATACTTATGCATGTTTCGAAAGTTGTGAAATCCGCCTTTACATATTTTCTACTCGTAGCACATGGATAACTATGCATGCAACACGATTGATATGTTTTATCATATTTGCTTAATCTTTGTGAAGCTGCCATCTGCCTATTGACCTTTTATCTACTGATGATGGATCTGAGATTTGTGTAATGCATCACACACACACAAAGAAGATCCATTAGTTAGTCACTACCTGCTTCGAAACACACAATGTTCGAATCCCTCCTTCTCGATAAACGTGCACTTTAAGACATGCGTTAAATGCTGGAACATAAAAAATCTGTTTAGACTTCACTGAACAAGTAATGTGTCGGAGGAAAAGGAGGTTATTCGATTATTTCAGTAGGAATATACACAGTAAATAAAAAATATCGCACAGTTCCGTTTTTAATATAAATTACAGGGTTCAAATGTCCCAAATAAAATGAGGTACTTACTGCAACTTCGGTGAATGTTAGGTTGACTTGACGGTTGGACGGAAGTTGGATAGCATAATTGCAGAATTCCGAGGTTTTATACTCTTGTGGATATCCTGGGCTGAGCAGTTGACCACTTTCTTTTCCGCTGAAAGTTTGACTGCAAGAAGCATCGCGCGAACGCGCTAAAACACACAGCACAAGTAGGTTTAAAAGGATCAAAATTATGACGATATTACGGCAGTACTAATGATTCCAATAAAAGTTCAGATACAGCAAGTAAAATATTTGTAAAGAAACGGCAAGCATGCTAGTGGTTGTTCATGTAATAATCGCATCTGAAATCGTGGTGCTAATTAGAAGGACATACCATGAGAGAAGCCTGACACGAATACTTTATTGAAAATCCGGTGGTATTTGTTTTTAATTCAGATAGAGCATAAGTCATGAAATTATTTCGAATTGGCATTGTCATTCGCTGAGTTTAAAGCCACAACAGCCAGTGCAGTTCACAATGTCATTCCACAAATGAATAAATAGACTTTTCTGTCACCTCCGAGAAAATATTCACCATACATTTGTAATGATTAACCACATGCGTTTTGAAGTCCGAACTTCTTGCTTCAAACTTTTTCTATGTAAAACAGTTGAAGTCACTCACCAACTAATTTAGCTTTTACGAGAATCTGCTTCTTATTTCCACCTAGCTCAGGTTAAGACTGGGATTATACCTGCGACTTTGTATCTCTCAAAGACTAGTTAACGCTAATCATTAGCGAAGTCACAGTAGTTAGTTGTGTGACATTTTGATCCAAACGAATCAACGCCTGAACGGAGAAGCTGAGGTACCGGTATTACAGTGGTTTTTTTATCAGCGTTGCTTTTCCTGTTGCTTGCTTGAGAGATCCCAAATTCTAATTCTGCCGATGCAAACCTTACTTAAAACGTACATTCTAAAGCGAATCCTAATGCTCGATAGTTTTGCCACATTTCATCCTATACTGTGCCTTCCGTCTCTGCGTTTTAAAAGGTACGGCTCAGCACGAGTGCGATACTATACCATGCTTGAAGTATTTGACCAGGTGTGACAAAGTTCTGACAAATAATTGGGTTGTGGTTTATAGCGATGTGCAGTTGAGCTGATCTGCTTCCTCATGGGCTTTAAGATAGTAATCTCCATTTATCCGAAATCTCAAGGTGGTAGTCGCGAACCTTTCTGTGAGTCTGGCTAACTAATGCTGCTGCTTATGATGGCCATAATAACTTGAAGTTTAATGCTTTGAAAGATAGTGGGCGAGTCAAACGCTGCGTTCGACCTTTTAAATTATCTGTGAAACATAACTTGACATGGTACTCTTGCGAAGTACTTGCTTTGAATTAGGACTACGTGGTAGCCTGGGTTTATCTGTTTATTGTTACCATTAAAATGCAACTTGCGTCACAAGCGAGGCAGAGAGATTCACAAGCTATTCATGAGCAGAATTTTCATGCACTTGGTACACTTATCTCGATTATGAAATAACAGAAAGCTGAAGTGTAGAAAACAATGACATGGATTTTGCGTATCTACAAAAAGCCACTTGCAAATTTATTGCAACAAGGATCACCGTAATTCGGGTGTAAATCAACAAGGTTCATTGCAACTATCCGCGACCTACCTGGTAATGTAACAGATTGAATTTGGAAGAGCTACCACGACACGTTGCATACCTTTGTTAACGTTTTCGATTTCAACAAACCGCGAGCCATGCAGCCTAGACTACTGTATTTACGTTACAGCTAACGGATCGTCGTTCGCATAATCATGATTTTTATCTGATAAGCTGCATGTAACATGTGCTTGTACAATCCACTCCAACATTTTGTATTACCTTACTTACAGACGTTATAACGAAAACTGTTGGACGGCATTACTATTGTTTAATGCATCTGGACTGACATAGGGTTGAAGTGTTGACCGTAAAATTCAGCAGTTAGCCTTAACACATTGGAGGGCCCCGGCGGTATAGGGATCATATGCAGGTAGGCTTCGGCTACTAATAAATGAATACAGCAGAAACAATTACACCACTCAGATTGTAAAGTCCAAAAGGAACTTTGATATATCCCAAACCTGGATTGCTTACATGAGGACACGGTATCTTTATTCCATATTTATCTTGCTCATTTGCACTGCTTTACTGTGCCTTACAAGCGGTTAACATATCGTACATTTATTTCTTTCACTCGATCACTGACACATCCTTGAAGTTTCAAGGTCGTTCTTATTATTATGTTACTGTAACACTGCCCAAATAATCGATCTGCCCCACGCCGTACAGTTTCTGTCCACTTGCATAACGATTGCAAAACCTGTTCGTAAGTCATGTACTGTATTTAATATGCCTTATAGAACCATGGTAACAGGATACTTCGTTTTATTCTTCTGCCCAGACCGTGCGTTAAGTCTAGGTTTATCTGTTCGTAGTTTCTAGTTTAGTTTTCGTACGACGTACTTAGTTTAAGCTTAGTATCGTTGGTACACAGATGATGCAATTTTATGGCCCACACACTAAACTCAGCATTCCTACACAACACCGCAATGAATAAGCGTCACCATTCCACCATCAAATTATAGCAGTTTTATAAAACCCGTAATTGCAGTGGCTCCCTCTGACTGATAGACACCTGTGAACAGCTGCATAATAGAAAAGTGACAACTGGCAGTTCATTAAGATATGTGACTTAGGTGTATGCCATCGACTCAACTACGGTCTGGTTGCATACATAAGACAAAAGTGTTCATTGTTACAGTCACCTCCCGAACTCTTCCAAAGAGATTGTATTCATTCAGATGAGCAGATATCTACCAGTAATTGGATACGTAAATCCCGACTGAAATGAATAGAGCCACAAAAGCAACATCCTCCTGTTTGTACTAAAGGTAAGTTAAACACAATCTTGAGGAATAGCCAAAGACTATATGTACCAATGGAAACCCACGGAAACTTCAAATGCCAAACGTTAACCGACATAACACACGGTAAGACGTTACGCTTCTCTATATATCGCAAATTTACTGGACACTGCCGTGATTATAATGCGTCACAGGGCGTCTCTCTTGCACAATTTTGACTAATATGCCGTAGTCGGTTCGCAGGTCAACTAGACAAATTATCCTTACCAATAGTTCTGTAAAGACTAATTTAAAGTGTGTTTGTGATGGATGTTTTTGAGGGCATCGACATATGTGTATCGTCAATAGTTATTCTTTAAGATCCTTCCAGTTATGTTATCTGTGAAACAGAAATTCAGCCGATAATCCAAGGGTCTGGCTCTACTACATCCAAGCGAAACACGGGAAATTTGTAGAATTATGTAATGATTTCATACATTATGGCAACAGGCACATTTAACATGCGAGGTGAATGTAAAGTAAACCTGACAAGTGTAAGTTCTGTTATAATATCTTTATTCGACCGTCGTTTTTTCATAAGTACGACGTTACTGCGCCGACCTGTCGGTTACCTCAGAATCTTTTGCGTTACTATGTTCACTATTTTAGTTTTTCGTCTCTTTTGTTCAAAAAATAAGGTAGTTCGCTCAATGAGCAATTTATTAATTCTTAGCCTGACGCGTGCCCAATTTCAAACAAGCTGTCAAAATAAAATATTTATTAACCTGAAATGGCACCCTCTCATTGGTCAGATGACATTCGCAGCCTCACTGTTTACAGGAGGCAATACAATTATGCGTTGTAGCAATGCGCAATCATTTCTTGCTTGCTTATACCTGGTTATTTGTTAGGCGGACAACCTTGTTACATGTGTTATTCCGTATCCAACTGCAACTTTTGCTTTTTCCATGATGCCGTTTCGGTCCATCTGCAACAGATTCTACAAAGCACTGATGTATAAAAGAACACTTTCCGCTTTCAGCCTTACTAATACTTAAAGGTGCAGTTTAATCTCAATGCATTATATAAAGGGCATTATTGCAATCGCTTGACTAGAAGAAAATAGATGTTTGACGTAATGCATTTCTAAACGACGCAAGGAGCTGATTATTATTCGCTTTTGACTCTACCACGAAGTAATTTCTATAAAACTAAGTGAACTATGAAGCCGATAGTATAAATAGAAAGCAAGAACTTTTAAATAGCTTATTATATTCGAAAATACTTACCTTGACCAACAGTATAGTTAAGTAACATGGTACACGTTACCAGTACCGTTGCATAAAATTCAAACCGAGCCGGAATCATCGCACCAAAACTTCAAGCTGTCAAGTTCTTAAGAGCACGAAATATGATCCTAGGACCAGTGTCGTTAGGGGTACACTACTGCGTATTTATAGCGGTTACCAATGTTCGTGGGTGAGCGGATTCATTTAAGTGAGTATGCACCAAATCTGATGTGCAGACATGGCAACTCCGTCATTGGATTTTAGACATCACATGACATGACGAAGTACAGTATGGCTGAAGTTGCGTAGGTGGTAAGTACGAGGGTGTTGACGGATTGGGTGTTTCTGTGCAAATTAAGTACTACATCTCTAGTAGGAACATGCAAGCAAAATGAAAACGCCTCTAAATTCCCTCATTGACCGCCATAGACCACTGCTTTTGCATGTCGTTATTAGCAAAATAAGAAGAACCATTATATTAGTGTAGCACTTCCATCTGTGGCCAAGTGCAACAACGAGGAGTTGAAGATTTGCGGTACACATGACCTCCGCATTTTCGAGCCTACGTACAGAAAGATACTTTTCTCAAGTTTATCAACCAGTGTCCGAGTACGCCTTACAGTCAGTGGCCAGTTTATTTAACCACTGAATACGGCTGTTGAAGGTGTGTGGTAGCAAACGCTTCCAACATCCTTGTGACATATAACTGTTTCTCATCTAATCAAAAATGGTTTCACATAAACTGGTAAATGATTTGATATTTGATTTAAACTTGCGCTATCCAGAACTCTCAGCTTTCACGCAATGAACTGTACATGCTGTATCCGCTGTCTCTAGTACATATGGAAAATGTGGGGAAGACGAGGGTTTCAAATCTATCCCTCATTAATACTTACTGCTCGCTTGTCATGCCGGATCTGCAACGGAATTTGGTTGCATCCATGGTATTTCAAAAGGAAGCATGCCTAACTAAAGATCGCAACTTAGTATTAAACGTGAAAAGGTGATTATGTATGCCTATAGTTTAAAGCAATAAAGCATGTACGCATTCAAAACGTCGATCAATGTCCCTTAATTCCATCAATCATTATGGCTTTTTGTTACTTTTATTTGCGCCCATACTAGTAACATTACGTAGACTAATTTAGTAAAAGAAAATTGAAATTATGCAGCCAGAATGCAGGGTAACGCTCTCGGAATCAACCATTTATTTAACACCCTTTCATGACAGCCTGGACTTTTCTCAGTGATTATGTTTCAACTGTATTCGTTGCTTACTTTCTAGACATTCAAACTTTAATTCTCAAAGTACTAATATCCTAGTACAGTAATCAGATTATTTAATACATACATGCTTGCACAGTTTTCTGCATATATTTCCTGGTACAGGCGGGTACAAAAAGTTCTGTAAATGGGTTGGCCACTAAATATATTACATTTGTTATCCTAAAGTCGTCCCGTAGCTAAGTATGAAACAGAGCCCAACGGTCATCCTACGGACTACTCTGTAAACTGAGAAGAGCTGGGCTGGAGGGCGCTACAACGCTCCACCTCCATTGATTGGAGAGTACCCGACTAACCAGTTACAATGATACAATGAAACGATAAATTTAAATAAACAAATAAATTCTATATTTACCGACAACCGATATAGGCGACAATTACATGCAAAGGCTCAACATTTTCCCGTAGATAAATAGCGCGATCAAAAATAGATGTATAAAAACAGAAAGCCCGTAGTGGTGCACTACTGCAAATTGCTAGTCTACGCAGTGTTTGCTTACGTTGTTGCTTCTCTTAGCAACTTGTGTATGAAATTCAGCGGACATATTGCAGCACCAATGCCGAGATTTGAATTCGGATAACAAAGGAGCATATTTGACCAAACGCGGAAGTAAGTTGCACGGCTAAGATCCCAAAATGCAAAACGTTTTCGGAGACATTCCAACCGGGTATACTGCGTTAGTAATTGCAACTAGTGACCTCGCAGTGTGATCTTGTGGCTGTGTTTCAGCAAGGGTCCACATGTGTGGTCAGATCCGTTGGGGATTTGATATTCCAATATGAGATCACTTCACAAAAAATGACACTGCTTACTAAAATTCCTAGCCTTGAGGCTTAACTGGTAATGGAGGTATAATGTTATCTCTTAAGACTTTTGTTGCCATACATTGTGGCTTCTCAAGATCAGAGATGGTCATGTTTTTGTGAAGATTCGTCCAACCTAGACTCGGGCAGAGTCTAACTGCGACGAATATTCATTAAAGCTAAAACATCACGGTAGTACCTACAACAAAATGTGAGGTCATGTTTTAGGCCAGGATGCCACACCTAAACGGCCAATTCAACGTGTGGTCTCAAGTAAGCTTCGTGTATTTATGAAAAGTGGCTAGGAACAATCCGGCCAGACGTCTTTTCCAGTAGGCTCAAGTTTTGGCTGCCTGTTTGCACTAGCATTTCAGCTTACTTTGAGTATCCGAGATCACTTTCCACAGGCAACCCGAGATCACTTTCATGAGAAGAGCACTGCAGCGTGTGTTCTCACAATCGATTTTGGTGGGTGCTCTGGTGGCGTACATTAATTTTTCTTCACTTTACACGATTAAACTCGAACATTTTCGATGTCTACCATTCCAAGCCTTGTCGAGACCATCATGCAATGCTATTTGAAAATGTACTTATTTAATTGTGCTCAAAATAATATTGAGAATATAAACTATTTGGACCGAGCATAGAAGCTGAGTGACCATAGCATGTCCAGCCAGCTCCATTAGAGCTTGTTAATTTTGTTACGGATAGTGATTGGTATAGTGAGAGTTCTATTGGGTCCTTGAGGAAAGGGTTCAGACAAGCGCAGTGCCGCTCTAAGTCGGGATTCTAAATAACGACGAGGTGGCTAATGAGGATATGGTATTGCGTGAAACACAAGCCTAGATACTTGAGGTCCTTTTGATGTGAGATGTAGTTGTCAACAATATTTATCACTCCCTACCATGTTATTTGCAAAAAGTCACAGGGTGATCTAAGAAGCTGCGGCTTAAATTTGTGTTGCGAGGTAGATTACTAGTCGAAGGATACCATTCGAACAGATGGTCGTCGTCCTACCTCCCCACTTTCAGCCAAGGGTGAATTCACAGGCACGTTTTGTTGTCAGCCGTCAATACTGCATCTAATTACCTGGAGGGGAACACCACACTTCACATTGTTGAACAAATTACTAAAAGTATGTGTGAATATAGCGCCGACAGACAACAAAATACGCTAAACGTTCTAAGTGACGAAGGCAAGTTTCAACCCACTGACAGGATAGAATGTCTGACAGAAGTAGAGGCCCGTATAACTCGACACCTTGAAACGCTTCTCCTACATCGTGCAATTAATGAAACCACCTACAAGCACCTGAAGCCGAGCGGTATCTCGAGACCACAGCTGTACGGGTTATCAAAAACGCACAAGCGGGGCATGCTACTATGACCCATTTTGTCGATGGTAAATTCCCCGCAGCATAGATTGGCTCGCTGGTTAGTTCGGATCCTTGCGCCACTGAGGCAGCACTGCAATTTGCACAGCATTAAGGACTGTATTTGAAATAATCAAAGACCTAGACCAAATCAGTCTAGCTGACAAGGTTATGTGCTCCGTGGACGTTCAGTCGTTATTTACTAATGTCCCCTTGCTTGAGACAGTTGATTACATTTGCCACCTGATAGAAGAGGAGTATTTTCGTTTACCTATACCGGCAGACCTGAGACAGTCCCTGTTACTTGGCACGGAGAATGTTCCTTTCCGATTCCAGCACACCACATATCGCCAAATTGACGGAGTGTCTATGGGTAGTTCGTTGGGTCAGGTACCGGCTGACTTTTAATGCAGATCCTTGAGAGGAGACTAAGTGGACAGATTTCTCAGCTGGCGTTTTACAAACGATATGTAGATAATATTCTTGTTTTCGGTTTTACGAAGACGAAAATCAAATAATTAGTAGACCAACTTAATAATGTTCACGCCAACCTGAAGGTGACTTTTGATTTCGCATCGAATGGGCGTCTTCCGTATCTCGACATTCCCAGGAGTCGCAGGGATAATGCCCTGATTAAGCTATCTGTATACCGGAAACCAACGTGGTCAGGCTAATACCTACACTTCACTAGCTTCTCACCGATGACGCACAAGCGCTCGCTGGTGAAAACATTATTCACTCTGGTAAGACGTATCTGCTCCAACGACTGCCTGCTTGAGGTGTTTGAGTTAATCACTAAAACAGTTAGGTAGAATGGCTACCCAAAGCGATTCATAGACAAACATAGCCAAGTCAGACCGCTCAAGGAGATGGTGTTGACAGCCCCTAAGAAGAAGTTGTACTGAGAGCTACTATTCAAGGGTGACACGGCAGCAAAAAGGATAACCAAACGCATTGTCTTGGCCATTCAGCGTACATATTGTGCTGCGAAGGCGGTAATTCTCAACAGAACCTGAAACATGCCGTTACCTTCAGTAAAAGAAGATGAGCAATGAACAATGATTTATAAAGGAGAAAAAAGCAGGTGCTTGACATGTCCCGCAAGGTGTTTAGCGTGACAAAAATGATAAAGCAATGGATAATGGAGTCGCCAGTCTGGGCCACTACAGATGTAACTGCACAGTCGTATAAAGGTAGTTTGAATTAAGAATATACGCACACGAAGCAATAAAGGGAGTGGTTATTGATCACATAATAGGCGAAAAAATAAAAAGATAGCAAGGACAACGGTTACTCGTGTGCAGCTACCTGGGGTAGACAGGATACAGAAATCCACTTTCTTTAGTGGTCGCGTTTATCGAATTTCGTGCAAGGCGTTTGGAGTGACTCATTCTCGAGTAAGGTTATGGCACTATCCACTGTCGGTTGTTCATTAGTGCCAGCATCTGGTGGTCATCGGCTATAGCATGTAGTGTAAATGTAACAGAGTTTCGTCAAGACTTTTTTGAAAAGGGATAGAGTGGGTGCATTAATTACAAGTTCCGGAAGGGCGTTCCGAGGCTGAGACATTTGAAGAGTGAAATAGTTTCGCCGACATTCCAGGCGGCTGTACTGCGTGA